CTGGGTTCGACGAACCCGCGCCTGGGTTCCGTTGAACCCAGCACGCCTGGGTTCGTTCGAACCCAGCTCGCCTGGGTTCGTTCGAACCCAGCCGTGGCTTCCTCGAACCCGCCTGGGTTTTTTGTTTTGTTTCTTTGTTGGTTTACAGTCATGCTTGAATGGGATTTAGAGTTTTGTGTGGTTTCTGATTGCTTGAATTTCCAAATATAGTTACTGTTGATGTTGATTGAAGAAATGTTGTGTTTTTTTCATTTTTCTTTGCAGATCTGGTATACATTTGTAGAGGAATTGATTTTTTGAATCAGATCTATTATGTGAGGAGCCAGATTTGAGTTCTATTAGGGAGGAGTTTGGGGAAGAAGTAGATGGTGATTGGAGTGGTAATAGATGATCGGAATGAGGGATGATCGGTGTTGATCGGGTTGCAAGATGAGAAGATATTTGAGGATAAAGAGAGACGAGAGGTGATGGAAGATGAAGATGAGGGTATTTAAGGAATTTAAAATTTTTTAATATATAAATTAATTAAAATGATGTGGATTAGTTATTTTCCACGTAATTAAAGATTTCAAATAAGAATTGATTTTGTGGCAACTTAACGTGCCATCTGGCACTTCCGTCGACGGAAGGACGAAATTGGTCCCAAAAATTGAAGTTCAAGGATTTTTTTAGTACTTTTTTTAGTTCGAGGGTATTTTTAGTTCAAAAATGAAAGTTGAGGGACTAAATCGGGGTTTTAACCAATTTTTTTCCATCCAATTTTTTTTCCTTCCAAAATCCCTAGCTGTTCTGCATCGACAAAAAGAGACAATATTGCCACGTCATCAATTGGGTGAGGGGTATTGTCCACATAAGCTTGTAAAAATTAAGAAAAAGGTAATTGGAGGAGACTTAACGTGCCATGTGTGTAGTTCCGTGACGGAAGGACCATTTGGGTTCCAGAAAAATAAAGTTTAAGGATGATTTGGGTGCTTTCTGATGTTAAAGGACGAACTAAGTTTCAAATAGAAAGTTTAGGGACCAAATTGGGTATTAAACCCTTTTTTTTCCTTCTTTCTTCTTCCTCACCCGCGCGTCTGCTCTTCTTTACTTCTCCCTGCACCGAACAACAAGAAACCCAACCAAGCCCGACAACACCCTCTAAAAACCGGTGAGAAAGCTTGGTTTTTGCCTTTCTTTTCTTGTTCAAGAACCAGATTTGGAGCTTAGAAACCTTCTCCCCCTGCAAGAAATTCCGGATCTGCTTTGCTCCTTTCTCCCTTCCATCCGCTGCTCTTGATGTGGGTGTGATTTGCTCCGGTTTCTGGTAAGAAACAGCCACCAATTTCTCTGTTCTCCTTGAATTGGCTTGGGCTTACTCTAATTTCTCTTGGTTCCTCCCAATTTTGGGTAGATTCCCGAATTTTCCCCTGCACTTCCCGCCCGCAACTCCCCCAATCTGCAGCTTCGGGTTGCTTCCTGGATTTCCTGGTAAGTGACAGCTTAATCTAAGTCCAAATTACCGTTAGTTGCTGAAGTTTGTCCGTTAATTTGCTGCCCCTGTGATGTCCGAAATTCTGCAGAAAAAAAGGGATAAATTCCGGCAGCCTTTGAACATGTTTTAAGTTTAATTCATGTAGAAAATTAACTTATTTTGGCTGCTATGATTTTTGGAGAAAGCCCCGTGATTTGCTATTGTTTTGCCAAAGTTCAGGTTCTCCCTTTTCTGTCCTTGAATTTGGAAATTTTGGTATATATGTGTTGTGTATAATTAAATCAATAATTGGAATAAAAGCCTTGTTCCCCATTATTGTCCGTGAGTTTGAAAAAGCTATATATATGTATATGTATTTATTTGTGTATATATATATATACCCAATCTGGGTTAATGCTCAAATTCGGAAAGAAGAAAAATAAGATAAAATAAATAAATAAATGAAATTGCTTATAGAATTAATTCTTGGATGTTTTGGTTAGGTTGGTGATTGTTCTGTCACCCGAGCACTTGGCTTGAGTTTCCAATTTTATGCGATTGAGGAGTGAATTTTTTGTGTTATGTGACTGAAGTAAGTAAATTATGGTAACGCCCTCTGATTTTAAAGCACATTTTAGCTTGTTTTTGAAGTGGTGGCGAGACTAAACTCGTTTTACACAAGTATGATCGATTTGAAATGAAATTATTATTCTTTTCATTGATTTGAGCATGCCTTCTTGGAGTTTACTTAGCTGTTCTGATGATCTGAAAATTATTTGTAAATTATGATTTTCTTGTTAACTTCAGCACAAGTATGATCGATTTGAAATGAAATTATTATCATTTTCATTGAATTGAGCATGCCTACTTAGAATTTACTTAACTACCTTGATGAACTAAGAATTTTGTACATTCTGATTTTTCTATTAAATCCATGCCCACATGGAAATTTTTCAGTTTATTTCTGAAATTTGAGATTTATTGTGAATTATGATTTTTTTGTAAATCTTGCCTGGTTTTGTCTTTGATATGGTCATGTTATTCGTGTGCCCACTAGTGGGAGGTTTATAAACGCTAGCACATGTCGACATGTTACTGATAGAACCGGTTCGTTTTTGTTCTACTGTTATCTTGCTAGTGGGATTATATACTAGTAAATCGTGTGCCTGCCAATGGGAGGTTTATAACACTGGCCATGACCTATAGAGGAGACGTCTATTTTACTTCCGTACTAGTACTTGTTTTTCGTGATTATACTTGTTGGCATGCTATAAGTTTAATTAAGGGCTATCCATATTTACTTACTGAGTTATCCCATAGTTTTTCCTTGTCCACCATTTCAAGAAGCGAAGTCAAGGACGAGGAAAAACGAGGGGAGTGACGTGTTAGAAGGCTAGGCATCTTGTAAATTGAACATAGATTTTAGATATAAATCATGATCTTGTAAGTTAGACTTTGTTTGGAGATTTTATGATATCAGAATAAATTTTAAAATTTTATCTTCAGATTTTGTGGTATCAGATTTTGTGATATCAGATTGTGGTACGATAAAGTTTCGAGCCTTGTGCATTCGTGAGATCTAGTCAGGAGTGCACAGCGTCTGTCACGTCCCCAGATTTGGGTTCTGGGGCATGACACTGTATCTCGATAACAATAAGGACTTCTAATGGTTACTACAGGTCCATACTTATAAAGCATTGATAGGAAATGTAGCTAGCTAAAAAATGAGAAACACCACAAATATAACTTATAGACTTACAGTAAATTGAGGTTGCTAAAAAAGGTCATTATGATATTAGTGAAGTACAAAGAGAAACAATGATTAGCTATAGGAATTTAATCTTCAGACATTGTTTCTGTTTTCTTGATGAAACAATTTAGATTCTTGATAAAAGAGTTACATCTTTCAACTTTCAAGAGACCTCAGTCTTGAACTCTTAGTTACAAGATAAATGCATAAATTCTTGCTGTGATCTAATATGAAATGAGCTGCATATTATATTATTGCAAAACACAACAAACTTACCTAAAAGCTAAGATCACAGCATCGTCTCTTATGGTGATCGCCCAAGTTGCCAGACAATGAAAGCAGCTGAATTCAAATACCAGAATAAAATAAATTCAAAAAGTTTTCACTATTCATTGGAAAAGAAAAAGCAGAATAACTAACAATGAAATGGGGAAATAACACTTTTGTATTATTAAATTATATTTTTTTGAAATAAAACCTTAAACCATTTAAAGCACTTCCATAGAATCCATCTGCAAGCAGCAGGCTAATTATATAAGGAATCACCTCGAGTTCCACTAATGGAGGAGGATTATGTCAATGGTTACTACAACAGCACACAATAGCTAAAAGCACAAGAACTAGCAATAGTAATCTAATAAAAGCACTCAGTGGGTAAACTAGTGGGGTCCCATTTCCATACTAAAACTCCCAGTCAATAAATCCACAGGGTGGAAAATTTTCGTATTATATTTAAAAGAAAATTGATTTCAATTTGTGCGCTTCTTTCTCCAATCTAAACTTATCTTAAAAATTATTGCATACCTAAAGAATTTCCTTCTGAGGTAGTAGTGAGTGGTCATTCTTTGTTGGTTCAAAGTAAGAGGAACTACACCCAGACAACCTCTATTGATTAGCATCTCCAAGAACATGCAGCTTGCGTCATCATATCCTTAAAAGAGTAAGTGAAATCCATTATTTAGTTAAGATAGCTCCATAGTTTAAAGATATTCAAAATGATTTTGACTTAACAAACCTTTTGCAGTAGCATTAACAAGTGCCCAAGTGTCTGAGAGCAACAATATATAGCCAAGTGAACTGGTTATGGTAGACAATGTACCACTCTGTGACAGTGTGAGTTTTCCCCATTTCTGCAATGATCCACCAAAAGGGTCAAAGGAGAAACTATGATGAAATCAATAAAATATTCAAGAAGCTTTCAAAAAGAAAAAATAAGAATTAAGACAGCTAAAAGAAGAGTGTTAATCCCATAAAGGCTAAATGGCAAATAAAATTTAAAAAGTAATAGCATCGAGGATGAATAGACAACAACACACAATATCACAATCACCTTGGATACCTGAATATAACAGAAGCACATAAGACTTGCATTAACTACTTTCTCAATTTCCATTACACTTTAATTAATTGAATCTGATAACAAAAAAAAAAAATCTCTATTAGTTAATCTAGGCCCAAAGTAATACAAAGTTTTGGTGAGTGCACAGGGCAAAATGAGAAAGAAAAAGCAAGAAACTGGGTCTAGTACAAGATACACTGCAACTAGCAGAAAAATTAGAAATGCCACAAATAGAACTAATAGTAAATTGAGGTCGCTAAACAAATTCAAGTGCTTGACCTTAATGAAACAGACTGTTAAATAGAACTTACAATAAATTTAGGTTGTTACACAATTTTCTTAATGGAACAGTTTACATTCTTCATACATGAATTGTCTTCTCTTGAGGAATGTGGCATAAAATGAAAAATATCCATTAGACACAACTTTTTTTATCTTAGCTTCTCATCAGATACAAAAAATAATTCATAAGATAATGCAATGTCAATGGCAATAACAAGTAAAGAAATTTTGCATGTTTCAATTCAAGAATAACTCTCAGCCTTTGACTGCAAAATAAGTACTTCAACCATCACAACAGAAACCTTTCCTGAGGATGTAATCTTGGGTCATCTCTCTCTTAGCTCCACAGACTCAATTGTAGGATGCTCGCAAGATATATCATTTGTAAGAAAAATATCCATTAATGAGTTCATAGAAAGAACAACAACTATTATAGTTGTAATTTATCTCAGCAAAATAGAATTAAATTGAATGATCACTACTCTATGTGGTATGACCTACACTAACTAGCCATGAATACAGTGCATACACCTCAGAATTTAAATGAAAGTTTACAAATGAGACCTAGAACTTACATATGTTAATGCTAGAAACATCTTATCTCAAGCTTGGCACATGCAGCATAAAAATTTCTAAAATTCTTAAGTAGTAAAGGAAAAAAACATTAATTTATTCCACCTAGAGAAAATTACAGCTTTCCCCTCTTAAGACAGAAATTGATATCTCCAGATAGAAGGAAAACACCAAGCAAAACTACCTGCCTATGAATCAGACCACCAGCCAAAGAATAAGATTTAGTTTGGCAATGGCTAGAGGGTGGGCCTCCGAAGAGCAAAGGAGGTTGGGATCGTCACTCACCCAGCCCTCCTAAGTAACAATCCTCACTGAAATTGCTTAGTTGTCATCAAAGATTCATCAGATGCATCTTTGCTTCCACATCGTTTGAGGGTCCAAAAATGAAAGAATTTTACATTTCACTTCAATAAAATGCACCATTCAAAGATAGCCAAAACAAAGGAAGAGAGAAGAAAATATGAAGACGTAAATAACATCAAAAGAAACAAATTACACAAAAAAAAAAAAATTCATAAGCAACTACTTTCAAAGCAAATAGAAATCCAAAAGAAATGAATACAAACTCATACATAACCATAATTCCCGCACAAGTTAATACAACCATATATCAACAATGAACATGAAAAAGATGGAAACAAACTTAAGAAGCAACTGTTGCCAAATCTCCCTGAAGTAGGAAATCAACCGCACCTACTTGCACCTATATAAAATAAAGCAAAAGTAGAAAAATTAAGAGTCACTAGTGTTTAGAACTTATATAGAACACAAATATTATAGAGAGTTGTAGAAACTTACTCACTTAAGAGCGTTGGTTTGATTTTTGGGTTTTTCTCTGCTTATGAATTTGGTTGCACCTTCCAACTAATTTTTGTTGATATTTCTCCACTTTCTTCACTACCCACCATGGTTTTCCTGTAGTGAAGGCAATGTATCCCAAACTAAGTCCCAACACGAGTCCACACCCATAGCCTGCCAATGCAAACTTCCACTCAAAGACTGCTGTAGAGTCATCTTCTTCATCAAATTGTGATGAAGGTGGTCTTGGTTCTTTGCATTTCTTTATCAATGGGAATCCACACAACCCAAAGTTTCCAATGTAGGAATCATTTGAGAAAGTATTGAACTGCTTCCCTTCAGGTATGTGGCCCACAAGTTCATTGTGTGAAAGATTCAAAACTGATAGGAACGTCAGCTTTGTCAATTGCTCTGGAATCCTACCTTCAAGCTTGTTTGATGAGAGATCTAATGACTCAAGTTCTGCTAATTTTCCCAATGATGATGGGATTTGACCAGTAAGATTATTGTGAGATAAGTTTAGCAATAAAAGTGAATTGAGTTCTCCTAGTTCATCAGGAATGGGTCCATGAAATTGATTGCTCGAGAAATCTATAGTTGTGAAAATTTTCAAGATCCTTGCAAGCTCCACCAGTAACCCTTTCATTACTACCTGCACAGAATCCTTATAAATAATACCATGAGCTAGGCAAACTCCACCTTCAGTTCTTAAACATTGCTTATGGTCACTAATGTATTCCAATTCAACTTTATCAGCTGGAGCTACATCTCTCATACCTTTCAAAAATTTGAAATAGTTACTTGGTAGGAGACCCTTAAAATCATTCTGTGCGACATCAATGATTCTCAGCTGAGGGAAGTAAAATGTAGGCATAGAATTGCTAATGGCACCATGAAATTGATTAGATCGAAGGATGAGAACTTTTAGCGATGGAAGAACACCTAACCAATGTGGAAAGGTATCATTCAAGTTGTTGTTCCCCACATCTAAAATTTCCAACTTATTGCAATTAACCAAAGACCGTGGAAGTATCCCTTCCAACTGGTTGCCATTTAGATTGAGAGTAAACAAGGAACTGATGTTGACAAATAAATTTGGAATCCTACCATGGAACTTATTCATCCGCAGATCCAAGATGTTGAGATCACTCAAGTTTCCAAGACATTTGGGAATTTTTCCTCCCAAACTATTATTAGCTAAGACTAGAACTGTAAGAGAAGTAAAATTACAATAAGAAGAAGGGATTTCACCAGTCAAATTATTCCTTGAAATGAAGAGATGTTGCATAGAATCCCAAGTTCTTGATAGAATAGGAAGTGATCCTTGTAGTAAGTTGGATCTGAGGTCAACAGTTTCAAGATATCCAGAACCAAATGAATCTATACCAGTCAAGAAGTTATAAGAAAGGTTTAAATAGGACAATGACATTGGCATCCCTTCTATTTCCCATTTGTGAATTTGACCAGAAATCTTGTTCTTGGAAATATCCAATTCTTGCAATTTCTCTGCCTTCCTTAAGAAACTGGGGAACTTATGTATGTTGCAAGAAGAGAATTTTAAAGACCAGAGGTTTGGAAAGGAATAGTTGACAGCAGTGCCATTATTGCTCAAAGATAGCAAACTATTGTTGGAAAGATCAAGATACCTAAGGTCTACAAGCTTCGAAAGCATGTCGGGTGTAATGGTGCCAGTTAAGTTATTTGAAGAAAGGTCGACTCTGGTAAGATGCACAAGATCAAAGAAGGAGCTAGGAATTGAACCACTTATCTCATTATTGGACAAATAGACTTCTTGTAAAATGAGATTGGGCATCTCAACATGATCAATAGGTCCTGTAAGGCGGTTGTTTTTGAGGTTTAAATATGATAAAGAAGGCAGTGAAAACAACCAAGATGGTACACGACCTAATAGCTTATTTGATGATAGTGATAAAAAAATAAGATGGGTGAGGTTAAAGATTGATGCAGGAATTGATCCATAAAATTGGCAGCTACCAAGATTCAATTCTTGGAGGAGTTTAAGATTTCCAATTGAATGAGGCAACTCTCCCAAGAAGTTTGTGTCTTCAAGATCCAAATACTGGAGGGTACTACTCAGGTTTGACTGAGTCAAATTACCTCCAACAGAATTGTAGCTTAAATCAAGAAGCTGGAGAGATGGAAGCTGAAGAACTTGGTTTGGAAACTTTCCTTGCAAATTACAAAGGCTAAGACTCAAATGCTCCAAGGAAGAAGTCAAGTTAAGCAAGGAAGAAGGCACAACCAGAGACATATCCACAGAATCAAGGATAAGAAACCTTAATTCTGTTAAGTTATGCACAAGCATTTGAAACTTTATGTTATCAAGAAGCAAACTATAAGTATCAGAGAGATCGAGTGAAACCAATTTCGATAGCGAAAAGATCTCATCAAACAGAAGAGAGTCATCCATGTATCCTGAATCTGTAAGGTTAAAGATTTGTAACATTAGAAGAAGTGAAACCAGTTTTCGAAGCATGGAGATTTTAAACAAAAGAAAAAGAAATGAAATCTCGTACCTGCAAGATTAAGATACGTCAAACTCTTCAAACGGCCGAACCCAAATGAGATGTTAGGATAATGAAAATAATTGTGAGAAAGGTCAAGACTCTGCAATTTCTCAAGGTGGAAGAGACTACTATTTGTAGTCAGATTGGCTTCAAGACAATTCCTGCCAAGATCAAGGCCAATCACGTGACCTTTCACCTTGTCGCATGTAATGCCCTCCCACGAGCAGCAGTCTTCACTCTCGTTCCAAGTTTGTATCATACCACGACTAACTTCACAGTCTTCCACCAAATCAGTAGTGCTTTTGAAATCAAGCAATGCAGAACGCTCTTCAGGACGGCACAAATGTGGTGATGAATCGGGAAAAGATTGAGAAGGTGAGGAGCTTTGGACTCGAAACCGTAACAACATGAAGGAAAGGCAGAGGATTTGGGAAAGCGAAAACCTTATTAAACTTGTCATTTTCTTGAAGATGAATACAATTCGCCAAACAAAGGAGTGATGGATTACTCAAAATTGAAGTGCTGGACACCAGTATTTATCGTCTTCCCAAAAGTGAAAGTCCTTCAACTTTTTTTTTTTGAGTTACATGTAAGTTTCTTTAGCAGGTCAAATTTTTTCTTTATATTTTTATAAAAAAAGGTGTTCACATAATTTAACTTTTTTTTATATAGTTTAATAAAACGGCACTAGTAATCATCAATCATTTGCTACATATATTTAATATTTTAACAATAATTAAAATTTAAATTAAAATACTATTATACTATAATTTTTCATTTTTATCTTTAAATTGTTCCTATTAAAAAAATTATTTTTGATTGTACACATAACTAAACTTTTTTTTGATTGTTAGTACACTGGGTTTTAAATGAAAAAAGTATCATTTACTTAAATAATACATAAAATTATATTAAAAATAAAAAAAAA